CTCAATAGTGCACTAATTAGAAACACAAATTTTGGAGATTGAAGGTTAAGAATGAAATTTCCGTAAGCATTCAACAACCATCTATGACGACCTAAATATGTATTACCAAACGCAAAATCCATATTTCCATCGGGAAGGATTGAACAAACTCTTTTGAGCAATAAAGAAGAAACTGAATAAAGCAAGTGAAGGTCACCACTTACCTGTCGAAGAATAGGTTTTAGGAATAACCTTGATCACATCGGCCAACTGTAGGTACTGCATTATGTCCTGATTTATGCAATATGAGAGGCTACTCAGTCAAATCATACTGCTTTCGTGCCCACCTCCTAGTCCTTTTGTCCGGTGAAACAAATGGTACGACCATTTTCACCATTTTGTGCATCATAATCTGGCATCACATTTGCATGTAATTGTTGAACTTTTCCAAGCCATATTGAGTATTTTACTAACAAAAAAGAAAGGTGCATAGGCAATGCCATGAGTAAAGAATCAATACAACCAAGAAAAACGTAATTCACACAAAAGAAAATGGCAACAAACAGAGCGATTGAAAAAAGAGGGCAAAGCAAATGGACAACAAATTGTCTCCTAAAGTGTCAATCTACACTGAATCCACCCTTAGAAGCAACAGGAATGAAAATAAAAACAGAGTAGAAGCAGCTAGTGAAACTAAACCAAACCCTACCTCAATTAAAAACAATTCATCGCTAAATCATGCAACACGCTTTCTCTCCATGTATTGGCTCTCTGCAGATTGCCAAGTCTATCAAACATCGTCCAATATGTTCCTTTACCCCAAAGTGCTTCTTTTCTTGTAAGAAGGGGATTATCAATCACTTTTACCCGGACCAAATAATGTCAATGTTAGCACCTTCTTCTTATCCCACTTTCGTGTTAGTTTTGCTGGACAATTAATCGCTTGATTGATGTTGGCCGCAAAACTAAAGTTCTACCAATTTCAGGATGAATAAGTTTTAGCAACGAAACAAAAGAGCAAAAGGAGGAAGAAGCGAGAAAAGGAGAAGAACTAACCCGGTCAAACACTATGATAGATTGGTGATGGTTTGGGCAAAAGAAATTCTATTGGAGAAGAGAGACCTACTCAAAAGTGGAAAATTGCAAGAAACACAAAGATAGTTAGAAGATAAAAATTCAAAATCAAATTTTAAAGATATAAAGTTACCCAAACAAAGTTTCCCCTCTTGTCATCATTGTCGTCGCCCCCAACAAAGCTTGAACTGCTAGCGACAGATCCTTTTTCCCTTTCTTCCACCTCCACAAAAAAAAAAAAACATAAAAATCGTTAAAATCTCCCAAACATAGAATCAAATGACCAGAAATGAAAGCAGAGCAACCTCTGAAAAGAAGACCAATGATAAAGAAAACGAAGGACCGAAAAGGCTATGTAAAAGAGTGACTTAAACCCCATCATAATATTAGATGATAAAATAAAACATAACAATTGCAGAGTTGATATACGACCAAGTGTAAGGCAATAAAGAAAACATAAGTGTTAAGAGCATAAAAATAAAGAAGTTGATCACTTTAAGATAGTTACTTTCAAGGAGAAAATGATAACTAAATAGAACTATTAAGGCTTTGGTTTGAATCATGTAACATTTATGAAATATAGAGCAGCCAAAAATCCCATCATGTAAGAGAAGAACAAATTATAGTGCCAATGAAACTACAGACCAATTCAGAGAGGTCTCCTTCCCCGGCGCTACTCGTACATAACTCTAAACACTTGGCACTTTGCTTCATAGTTTCATGCTGCATATCCTGTATGAGTAGGAAAAGCAAACACCTTTTTGTTCCTCTTGTTTCTCCTTCCTTCACTTGTATTCCAAGATCATGTTATTCTTAGGAGGCAAACAAAAACAAGTTCCTATGATATTGCACTCTACTTTGATAGTGCATTCACAACTGGTATTGCCTCATGGAACCTATTAAAATTAGTCAATTCCACTACAACAAAACTAAGCTTCGGAGATAGAGGTTATTTGAGCCTATATGTTACTTATTTGCTTCTGTATATCTTTCGATGCAAATATTGTATTTGAATCATTTGTCTCTATCTCGGATTGGTTTTAGAGACAAATATAGATGCAAATGGTAGTTGTCTCTAATAATGAAATTCGAGACAAATGTTTTTATTTTATTTTCAAGACATCTATATTTGCTTCTGATAGACCATTAATAGCACATGTTTATACCTCTATTCTTGAGCCGTTTGAGAGTCGATTCTCGTGTTGTAAGCCGATTTCACGCTAGGTTGTGTGTTTATGTCTTATTTCAGGACTTGGTGTTGACGTGAAGGCGAGGAAACGAGTTTCATGTCAAAAAGGAGGATAATGGAGTGAAGGGCACTGGAAGAGGAAAATACCCGGCTAGGAGTTAAAATACCCCGTCGGGTAAAATGCTAAGAGAGGCGGGGGAAAAGTGCTTTGGACGCCAAAATGGCAGAAGGGGTCCCGGCCGGAGAGCCAAAATACCCGATTAGGTATTCTGGACCTCGATCGGGTATTAATCCCCTAGCTGCTGCTGTGTGTTTTGAAATTTCCGACCGGGCATCTGAAATACCCGACCAGGTATTATGGCCGGGGATCGCGACCTTCTGATTTTTAAGGGAAAGAAGACCAATTTTTGAAGGGTTCCGAATTTTAGAGATAGAAAGCAGATACCTAGAGAGAGAGAGAGAGAGAGAGAGAGAGAGAGAGAGAGAGAGAGAGAGAGAGAGAGAGAGTGACGAACCAGAATCTCCAAGTGCCCTAGATCGATCTTCATCACCATTGGAGCTCGGCTTAAGCTTGGAGAAGTGCCAATTGATTGCCAGAAGCAGAATCTCATCCTTCACAGCATGGTTTCCGCATCTGAGCTAGATTTACATTCTATCTATGGAGTAAACTCTCTCAATTACCTGGGTATGAAGAACCCTAGATTTGTATGTTAGGTCTGATTGTATGAACCCAAGTACGAATTCATTGATGTTGATTATATTCAATTGAGGTTTGATTTCCTGAATGGCATGAATCCTGATCAAATTCCTCCTATTTATGCTTGGATCTAAAAAGAGAATATCTACCTAGGTTGATAGAGCACCCTTGATTGAAGGTAGTGAATTGACGAATTTAGTCGAGGAGCCAATTCACAATCTGTATCGGATTTACCCCGGTAGAGGACGTTTGGTTCGTAGGGCTCCAATCTATTTACTCCAGTGGAGATTAGTCGCCCGCTGGGGACTCAGATTGAGAGGGTCTGGAGACCTTTAGTCGAGACTGCAGACTGTTTAAGAACCTCCCGCGGTATAACTATCATTGAACTTGAACTTGGTTAATTACAACCTGATTTAACTGCAGTCTAGGGGGGAACCATATATGGGTGACCTCTCTCAACTTTGAACACAACTTTCACAGTTTTTGCATGCTAGTTTAGTTAAACATTCACTACACTAGAACTGCTAGATAATAAGACTTTCACGGAGTAGTCATCACACCTAGGACCCGGGTTGACATTTATAACTAAACTCGCTATACTACGCATTAGTAGGTGGTTACCCTTGGCCACTTTCTAGTGTGATGGTAGAGGCGTGTCAGCTTCTACAGAACTTTAAAGAGACTTAAACATTTGTTTCCGATAGATATATTTAGAGACAAATATTTGGTTTCTAATATTAGTTTTAGAGACAATTGTATTAGCTTTCAAAGAACTTTATGGAAACATATATAGCTTCTGATGCATATTTGGAGACAAATACTATTGTTAGTATTGCTTCTTTTAGAGGGAGAAACATTTGGCTACGAACGTAGTTAGAATATAAGTAACAGTATTTTATTTATTTTTCACCAGTTACAAAAGAAAACAATGTACATGATCAAGGAAATAAAAAAGAACGCCCAATGAAGGTGCTCTTTTACAATAAGGGATTAACAACAACAACAGTCTTTTTATTTGCTCGCTCGCTAAGACAACTACCTTCTTATTGGATTCCTGTTGCAACTTGTACTTGAGAATATTAGCTTCCATGGTTGTCGAACATAACCTGAATGGATGAAATTGAGCCCAAAACAATAAGCAGAGGAAATTCCCTAAAAACAATAAGGGAGAAGCTAGAACAATAAGCACATATCAAGCAGGGGAGTTTTGATTATTATATGACACTGGAATAGAGAAAAGGAAAACATGGGAATATTGATTTCTTATTGAAACAAAGCCAACTCGCTCGCTGGGGTTGCACCAGATCCGGCCCACTCCAATCATATCTGGCGATTGGAACAAAGCTACAACAGATCTGGAATGTGTAAAACAACATTCTGGATCTTCCCGACAAGTTTACAGAGAATGGAATTGGAAAGAACTCGTAATTGCAGAACAGAATTAGGATTAGAGGAGAAGAGGAGGAGAGATTGGGGAAGAAGATCAGAAGGAAGAAGTAGACTGAGGACGAGAGGGAGAAAGCAGAAATAAGAGTTGGGGAAATTGATTCTGTAATTTCTTCTCAATGTCGTTACACAGCCACTAGCTTTGCCTTTTATAGTTAGAGTACAATTTCAATTAAGCCCCCAAACTACTAACCAATTGCAAAGAAGGACAATTGCTACTTCAGATTGGAGTTGCAACCAAAACTACAAAGCTAATGTATGGTGATCAACTGGATTGTGGGTTTAAGCATTTGTCTTCAATAACTATATATGTTAGTGGATTGTCGTCTTAGGGGTTTAGAGGGGTTCAATATGGCAGTCAGAGCATGGCTGATTATGTTGGTGAAGATGGCAGCTAGGATTATGGGTATAGGTTTTTCCTGCTTACAATGGGGTTTTTGTGACTTCGCGTGGCTGGGGAAGGTGCCCTGGCTTTAAGGAGCCCTATAAGGATACATTGGGAAGCCAAGTTACAATTGATGTTGCTGAAGTCAATGGAAGACAACAAAGGATTGTCGTTATAATGGCTGGTAGTGAGCTGCTCAATGAATCGTTGAGGTCCCCATCAATGCAGTGGAGTGCTTGGCCAATTCATTTAAGAAAATGAACTGTCCCTGTTGGAGAAACTGATTTGGACATAAAGAGAACAGGTCATTCAGAGTTTGTGTACAAGATTGATGAGTCTATGAAGCATATCAGTTTAGAAGCATCAAAGCCTACTCTTACACCAGGGGAAGTGCAACAAAATGCAGCTAAACAGAGGAATTGTGCAGCCCTTATTTGGCCAAGAGTTGCTAAGGATGTTGCTATGAAAAGAGCTCCTCCCATGGGGTATCATTTTCAGTTGTTGTATTATCTTGCACCTGTTCTGTGTGCAGGTAGTTCTCTTATCCAGAGTGACTCAAAAGTATATTGGTTGGATGATGAAGAGAATTGCAGCAGCGTAGCTCTCATCATGCACTAATACAAGGTTGCCGTTTAATTTGCATTAGATTTAGTGTTGTGGCTGGAAAGTTTCCTTCTAGTGCTCGCCTCTGGTTGTTCATTGTATTTTAGCACGATGTTTGTAGGACTGAGTTCATTTTTACCCTTGTTAGTTTTTGTTGCTTTCATTAGGCTTGAGGACAAGCCTTTTCTCAAGAAGTGGGGATTGTAACGATTGGGACTTAGTTGTAAGCAAGTGTTAGTTTGAGATGTTTTTGTAATTTGGTTTGTCCTATAAAAGGGACGTTGCTGTAAAGGGAAGATTAAGAAATTACAGAATCAATTTCCCCAACTCTTCTTCCTGCTTTCTCCCTCTCGTTCTCAGGCTACTTCATCCTTCTGATCTTCTTCCCCAATCTCTCCTCCTCTTCTCCTCAAATTTTAATTATATTATGCAATTACGAGTTCTTTCCAATTCCATTCTCTATAAACTTGCCCAGAAGATCCAGAGTGTTACAGAACGAGAAAAAAAAGCATTATCAAAATTGAAACTAAAAAACACCACTCAGAGACGAGAACAGTTCGTCACCTTGCTCGACTCCTTGGCATCTCGAGAAAGTATACCTAGAAGAAGAAGACAAAGCAGGGATCGTAGGAGAAGCGACAGGTGCTGGCGCTGATGGGTCTTCTTCTTGATTCGGCAAAGATCGTCGGAATTTTGATTACTCAGAAACGGGTTTGGATTTGTTTAATTCTTTCTCAGATTGGGCTTTTGTTTTGATAATAGGGGGGAAGGTGATTGAGAAAGGAGGGGCGGCCGCCTTGGGGTGGATGAGTGGTGCCCGCTAAAACCCTAATACGGTTTATTACTTTATTATATAAGTTTAATTTTTTTAGTTATTTTTAAGTAATGTTTATATAAGAATATTTAAAGTTCGGTTTTAGAAATTTTTATTGTCTCTATAAATATAATGAAAACGATGCAAATACAATAACATTTGAAGACAAATAATATTTCTTTTTAAAAGATTTAAAAAATGTTATGAAACAGACTCAGATACAATGACATGTAGAGAAAAATAATATTTGTTTCTTAAAGTCTTAGAAAATGTTATGAAATTGAGATAGATATAATGACATATAGAGACAAATAATATTTTTACTTCAAAAGGTTAGTCATGGAGACTAATACAAAGATTGAATCATGTAACATTTGTGAAACATATAGCAACCAAAAATCCCATAATGTAAGAGAAGAATAAATTATAGCGTCAATGAAACTATAAACCAATTCAGAGAGATCTCCTTCTCTGGCGTTACTCGAACATAACTCCAAACACTTGGCACTTTGCTTCATAATTTCATGCTGCATATCATGTATAAGTAGGAAAAGCAAAATAGTTTTTTGTTCCTCTTGTTTTTCCTTCCTTCACTTGTATTCCAAGATCATGTTATTCTTAGGAGGCAAACCAAAACAAGCTTAGGATATTCTCCAGCATTGCCTTCTATTTTGACAGTGCATTCACAACTGGTACTGCCTCATGGAACCTATTAAAAAAATAACAATTGACAACTTGGTCAAACTTCTGATTCATCAAACATCTCTTGAACAGAAACAACCTATCCATCTGTTTTAACTCAGCAGAGAAACCTTGGTAAGGTAACTGAGAATGGTTGCATAGGGTGGAAAGGGTGGAACTTGGCCTGTAAATTAAAAAGCAAGCTAATTCAAATTAATTCATCAACTAAACAACCATCAATTTGGTCTCAATTAGTACGTGAAATCACATTTCCTTCAGCTTAAAGCTGAATCCTGGAGCTGAGCTTAGCAAGAAGTACCAAGTCCAGGATGATTGGTGCAGCCAAGAAGGAATCCTCACATGTATTGTGCACTACAATAGTGTTGGTCTCACCCAAGAAGATCTAGGATGTGTACTCATCCATGGCTTAAAAATCACCTACTGTACTATCCTCATAACACAGTCAAAGATTCCAAGCTTAAGAGTTTTTACCTTGATGACCACAACATGATCAGGGTGTTCACCAGGCAAAACAGCCAAAGTTGTGTCCCTCATCTCCGCTTGTTGGCGCTGCGACGCGCCTATCCCCGTAGCCGTCGCTGCACTACAGGCCCTAGATCGTTGAGACACCACTAGACGGTCGCCAACCTCGACTACACCATCCCACCAACCGTGCGGTTGCCAATCGCTGCGGAAGGAGGAGTTAGAAGGAATTAGGGTTGGTCATCTGCATCCTTGCTTCTTCAAGGGAGAGTTGGGTTGGTGAGAGGAGATAAGGGAAAATGAAAGAGAAAGAAAAGGGTAAATTGCAACGTTGGTCATTGAGTTTACTAAAAGATTCACCTTTGGTAACTATAAATATTTAATTCCATTCACGGTCATCAGAATTAGTTCAACAGTTCAAGTTTGGTCACTCTCCGTCCAACTCCGTTAACTTTGTCTGATGTGGCAGTCAATCTTCATAGTTGATCGTTAAATAAGTGACGTGGCAGTTACAAAATAATAAAAATAATAAAGCTTAATCTTTTACAATTCCACCTCATTTCTACAATTAAAACAATACAAAAAATAGTTATAATAACTAATTGAGGTGAGAAATCTCCTTCGCCCATACCTCTCGCCACGATTCCGCTCCATGGTTCTCCTCCTCCGACACTCTTCTGATCTCCGCGGTCGAGCACTCTCCACCTGCAACTGAGCGTGACGGTTGAGCACTTTTCTAATTATTTACATATTCTCTGTTGGATCTTTTCTTCTTCAAGCTCTAAGGGCTTCGATGGGTGGTCTGTTTCCGAGTCTTGTTTCGACGACGTGATCTAGAGGAGGTTTCCGAGGGAAATTTCGGAGAGTGTCGGCTCGACCTGCTGCCAGAGGTTGACTAGGTGGATGAGGAGGGACGACTTCTAGGTCCTAGTTAGCTTTTCGGAGGCCTCCATGGTCGATTTCCAGAGGAGGGCGGAAACGATCTCGACTCGTGTCCCTGTCGAAGAGATTGGGATTCGGGACTTTAGAAACTCGATCTTGAAATTTGGCTTTGGGGCAGATCTGACCACCAGAAGCACCAACAACTTATTCTGATCGGGATTAAAGGGAACGACTCGAATAGGTTCTTGATGTGGTTGCTGTATCGATGATGATTTTTGCGGTCGATGATGGAGAATTACCGTCTCTCTATATTCTTCCTCCCTTGTTTATCTATCCCCTATTCTTTCCTCCTTTTCCATCGTCTTTTCCAGCCATTCTGCTAATTTGAATTTTTTAGTCTCACGTGTTCATTCTAGAAGATGGTTCTCGCGGTGGAATGGTCTCCTGATAGGGTCAATTTTGCGCTGGTGTTTGAGCTTTCTTGGTGACTGGAAAATGGAAGCTGGGGATTAAGATTTACAGCGGTCGATGATGGAAGATGTGTATGTTAAAATTGGGGAATTTGGTATTTATAATTTTTGCTATTTTATTTATATTAATTATTGTGAAAATGAGGTGAAATTGTAATAAATTAAATTATTTATTATTTTTTATTTGCCACATCACTTATTTAACGGTCAAAGTTTAGGTTTGACTGCCACATCAGCCAAAGTTAACAGAATTGGACGGAGAGTGATCATACTTGAACCATTGAACTAATTACAGTGACCACGATGGAATTAAATATTTGTAGTGACCAAACATGAATTTTTTTAGTAAACTCAATGACCAGCCTTACAATTTACCCGAGAAGAAAATGGGAAAAAAAAAGAGAGAAGTTTGTTCTTTCTTCTGGTTTCTGCATGGGATTTTTGGAGCCGAGAGAAGCGATTGGGGTAGGTCATATGTGTGTGTGAGATGGGGTAAGAGGGAGATAAAATAAAAGAGGGTATAAGGAAGCATTGTCATTCTAAAATAGAAAGAGGGAAAAAAAAATATGATATGAAAGATCGTCTAATTAATTAGTAGAGGGTCTAACAAATCAAGTTTTGTCCCTACTGATTTGACTCTAAGAAACAGTAAATTCTCTACTAATTCTATTAAAAATCTAACTAATAATAATATACATGTGAAGTTGTCAACTTCAAAATAATGACCCTCAAGGTGGCACAATCCCACTTTCCCTAATGAAATTATATAAAATTGAAAACACAATTACACGTCTGATGCTAGAACTAAAAGGGTCATTTGCCAGAAGATTTGGAAACTGCAACAAAATTTCAGAGATTTAAGTTTTGGACTAGGAGTTGGACCTCCAACATCGTACTCGCAAGCTGGAACATCCCTATAGTTGTCACAAGTAATACTAGGAGGGGTCTAATGCAAGCAATGATGAATCCTTTTCTCCAACCAAGCCAATCTCCTCTCCAGACCCAACACCGCAATGTGCATGATCCTTATATCGACATGAGCAACTTTTGCACAAGAACGCAGCAGGATGTAGTAATCTGCATGCGCAACATATCTCAAAATACCTTCCTCCTGTTTCCTTGCATATTGGAGATAGCCAGATCTCTTGGCATTAACCCTCGGTGGGATGTAGCAGAAATGATTCTCCTCCATGTCCGTTTTCAATTTCCTGAGAGCGATTTCTTCGGAAGTGTCGGTATTATCAGAATCCTGGAGCGGGGAATCGCTACCGTGGTTGTTGGAACTATGAGGAGAGGGGCTTTCATTTGACATCTCTCTGAATTGCCTTGGTACTGGCTGTGTTGGGATATAACCATCGTCATCACTCGTTGATCTTTTTTTATTAACAGTATAGCTATGCATCTCAGGCTCTTCTTCTCTGGACTCGCAATCCTGATACCCCTATATGTACATATATAAGCATCATAATTAGGTCAAAACTAAAACCACTGCTAGCGGGGCAAACTTTTTCTATGATACTGAACCATGCATACGTCTAAAGTAAGTTTGCTGCAGCCTAAAAATAGACGGAAAAGTTCAAAATAAAAGTAACAAAATATCTTCAAATTATACACATAGTAGACAATTTTCAAAACTCACTTCATTTTTACCATAAAAAAATTCCCCGTCATCTTATCAAGTAGTTCTATTTATCACCAGAAAACTATTGGAAAGGTGCACCCTAGCCAAATCCAAAGAATGAGTTACCTTTGCATTCTGGTAATAATTCCATAGCTTCTCTATCAATTCTTCTTCCTCCCGCTGGTCCTGCGAAGATGAACCACCTCCGGCAAATACCACGTCATTGCAGTACTGGAGATATGATGGCAAGTCTTTCGCAAATTCTGCAGGCGTGGAAGGGAAGAATTGGACAAACATAGTATGCATAAGTTGATGATCCAGAGAAACTACTTGCCAAAAACAGCAGAAATTTAACACATCCAACTATTTACCACATGGTTCTCCAATCTCACTATACTTTGACTCAAGATTGCGCAAGAGTTCCCCTGAATCAAACTTCAATCCCTGAACAACGCGTTCATTGATGACCATTTTTTCACTTGAATCAGGCATCTCATCAGATAGGTAGCCGGTATCCCTGTCAGCATCTCCCCTCACTCCAGAAGGGACACATTTAGATAAGCTCCTTTCCCATGCACCAAAACCATTTAAATTGTATAGCATTCGAATTGCTACAATCAATATCGACATCACACAGACACGAGTGGGAATTCTCAACTCATTTGTTGACAACCACAAATCAGGAGGCATTGACCACTCATAGATGTGGCAAGCATGTGGAAGAATCTTTTCGCCAGGAACAGACAGTTGATTGAGATAGCAAGACGCTACTGCATAGAAGTTCACTGGTGGCAAACTCAAACCTATTAACTCGGAAATACTAGCTGCCATTGCTTCCAACTTCTGGAAAGGAACTGGCTGAGAAGGCCTAAACATTAAGGACGAACTTATCGGACAGGCAAGCGATGGTTGTTCGAAGCGCTTCTCAATTTCAACATGGGCAGCAAAAAAAGGAATCTTACCTTCAAGTGACCACTTCACTATATCAGTAGGTAGAACTGCTTCCCTTGCAACATGGCAAGCTAAAAAACAGATAGCCAAAGAGTAATCTAGAGGTATTACTTTCCTCAAACTCCTAAACCAAACCATTACAGCTCGCTGGCCATATGCATTATGTGGTTCATTGCTGCGCTTGCGATGATCTTTACTGTCGTAAGGTTCCCCTGCAGACCATGGAGGGTTAAGCAATAACGCTCCTATGCATTAAAATTCAAGCTGGAAAATAAAATAAAGAGAACTAGTCAAATTGCCACTGAAAATTTAACCTCTACTACGAATTACTACTGACAAGTTACAGTCTAGCTTCAAATCTCAGTACCCATTACAAAAAAAAGCATCAGCAAGAGCAACAAATGACAAAGCGATGGTTTCTTACGTACCCCGGTTTTGAATCTCGGATTCCGTTAATGTGGCATTAGCCCAGCCATCTTTGAACACTCCAGCCACAACCACGAGCCTCAACCAAACAGCAGAGGCAATCCCACAGATCAAAGGGCTGACACCGAAATTCTCAACCAAAGCCTCGCATTGTAACTGAATCATCCACTGTATCCCCATTATGTACCTAATCCTCACCTCATTGAAGTAATCCTCGTAATCGAGCGTCCCCGTCGCTTTCGCCGCAAAATCCTCCGGCTCCGTAGGACCAATCGGGTCGCCGTTGGAATTAGAATAGCGACTCAGCTCTTTCTTGGGCGTAATCTATTTGCTCCCTTCCACTTCCTGCGAGAATTGGTACCACAGTTGGGAAGTGAAATTGGCTTCGGTTCCCTGACTAAGGGTGGGCTGGGAACGCCGGGTGAAGCGAGCACTATAGAGGCCGCCGCCACCGCCGCCGGTTTTATCGAAGAAATCCTCGTCGGCAACGTCGGTGAGCATGATTCCTTGAGCCTGAGAACTGCATTCCTGGCAATAATAGAAACCGTCGTTTTCGTAGAAGCTACGGCCGCCGCACACTTGGCACACGCAGTTTTTTGCCTCGTTATCTTCCTCCATCCCGGAGAGGTTATGAGAAACGAATTAGGGTGGACGGTTCGAAAGCTTAGTGGTAAAGCCGCGGGCAAACCTCGAACTATTTGAAGATTTGGGGATTTTGGCGGCGAGGCATTCGTACCGCTCCTGGATGTTGAAGAGTTAGAGGAATTAGATATGTGTGTAAGCGCTGTGCTGCGGCCTGGGCTTGCTTGTTGGCCGGACAAACCTAAAAGTTATCGGAAGGCCTGTAAAGTTTAATCCCCCTCTGCTACTTGGGAATTATCCTTAGTAACCGTAAGAGGAAAAAATCCTGAATCGCTATTCGCCATTCTAAAATTCAAATTTTATCACCCTAAAATACAATAAATTGACATATATACCCTCAACTCAATTATAATTCTAACCCTGCCACAGGCTCCCGTTGCTGCTACTCGAGTGCGGAGGGATGGAGGAAGCCGGTTGCATTGCTCTTGCCCGACGCCGATCTGCCTCCCGTCGCCACTGTGGCTACGGAGGAAGGAAGAGTTCCTACTCAATTAGTGGGTAAAGTTGGTGACTTGGTGCTTTTTGACTAGAGCTGTCAAAATTGAACTCGACCCGACTAATCCGCCCAACCCACCCAATCCACAACCCGTCCGTAATCCGATTTGACAAAAAGTCAACCACTCGAAGCCCGCCTGTAACCCGAAACCAATTGACCCGTAATGCGATCAACCCATAACTTGATGAACTCGTTATCCGATCCAACTCATAACCCGAATGATTCATAACCCAAATAACCAGTAACTGAACCAAACCCAGCTCGAATAACCTAAATAACCCATTTGACCCGAATGCTTGTACAAAATTCAATGTATACATTATTATATTTTTAAATTTACCAAGAAATAATTGTTGTTCTCGTAATAATTGAAAATTATTTGTAGAATTGATAGTATAAATTGAGGTTTTTCTTAAATATTTAATTTTTAAAATAATAATATGTGAAATAACTTTTCATTCATTTTTTATTTTATGAAATTCAAAGGATAAATATTTGAATATAATAGGAAGAGTTAGACACAAATTCGTATCTCCACCACCCATAACTATATTAAAAAAATCAACCCTTGAAAATCAATAAAATCCCCAAATCAATGATCTCTATAAGTGGATAGTTTACCCTTTTTACTTCATTCTCAACTTTTTACTGATTTTATTTATTTTTTATAAATTAATTAATCGATGATTCGAACTAGATGATAATATCAAATTTGAGCGAACCGTTGTTCGACCCATGAGTTTTAGGATGAGATGTTACCATGGATATATAAAAAAATTGTGAAGATATATAAGTGGGTGATTCGGAATGATGTTCATAAGTCTTCGTGGAAATGAAGAGACACACATCTAGTTCATACTATATTTAATTAAGACGATTTATTTCGAGATGTATAAGCATATAGTCTACCTTGTTTACTTCATTCTCAAATTTTTACTGATTCAATTTTTTTTATAAATTAATAAAATTAGTGAAGTTACAATCTCTCACCCTAAACAAAAAAATTACAAACAACAACAAAGCTTTTGTATACACTATTTTATTTATATTTAGTTTTTATACTAACATAATGGTTATTTAATTTGTATGTGTAAAATATTATCATATTATCATTTTCTTAAATTTTGTATCATTACCTACAATTTATATTCATATATTGATAGTTTGTAAAACATTATTTTCTGTCAAGAAGTAAATGATCCAATGGGTTGACCCGAATAACCCATAATCCGACCTGACCGAACCCAAATTAACCTGCAATCCAATAAACCCGTAATTTGATGCACCCGTAATCCGACCCGATTCGTAACCCAGTTGACTAGCGACCTGATTGACTCGTAACCCAATTGACCTGCAACCCAATTTAACCGAATCCAAATTGAAACTGACCCGATTAAACTCGCAATCCGATTGAAGCCAACCCGGTTAGACCCAATCTGAACCCGACCCAATTGACTACTCAAATTTGCTCAATGAATTAAGAGTACCAATATATTTCTTATTCTCGCTGAATCAAAGTCAAATTGCTAATTTCCGTTGAACCCAGTTTATATATATCAACCATACAAAAAAAACAAAAAAACACAACGTTCTAGCAACGTTTGTCCTCCCTCGTTGCCCGGTCTGTTGGGGTGGCCTGGAAACCATGGAGCATCTGTTTCTGGATTGTCCGGTGGCGCGTACAGTCTGGGGACTCTCGGGGCTAGAGTACCTAGGGGAGGGTTTGCCTCGCCATACTTTTCCTCTGTTTCTTAAACGTTTATTGGCCTTAATTCAGCAGCCGACGCTCTTAATGTCCTTTGGCGCATCTGGCGGTCGAGAAATTGGGTGGTGTTTGAAGGAAAGCAGTGTGGGTTCCCCGCGTTGATGAGGCGGTTTTCCCAGCAGTATGAGGAATGGGTGGGGTTGCCGGTGGATGTGACCCCCGTGCCTTCTCCCCCGACGGTTCAACGGACAGGTGGGCTGGGTCAGGCTGCAGGGTTTACTTGCTAGTGGGACGGGGCTACCAGGAAGGGGTCGCATTCAGCGGGTGGCATGGTTCTTCTGTCTCCCTCGAGGGATGTTCTTATGGCTCACGGGATACAGTTTCAGGGGATTGATGACCCTGTGGTCGTGGAGTTGCTTGTGCTCCGAGAGGCCATTGCTTGGTGTGTGGGCCAGGGTTTCGCGGGGATGCGCTTCGAAGGGGATGCCAAGATCATCATTGATAAAATTACAAGGATGCTAGAGACAACCGGATGGGTGCTACTTTGGAAGAAGTCTTACACTATTTTGGTAGCAGCCCTGGTTTAGTGTGCGGTTTATAGGTCGGAGTAGTAATAGGGTAGCTCATATGGTGGCTAGAAAAGGGAATGGGGGAAGCGTGCATTCGTGCACGGTTGGATAGGGCCCTTTGCTCCCAATCCTGGATGGATATGTTTACGGAGACCTAGGTCAAGCATTTTACGGATCAGGGGTCAGACCATCGTGCCCTCCTTCTTGCTGATAAACCGTACGTTCAGAATAGTCGGCCTCTTTTCCGATTTGATGCTCGTTGGGCGGAGAACCCGGAGGTTAGGGCAATGGTCCAGTATGTCTGGCAGGAGGAGTTGCAAGGTACCCCCATGTTTCGTCTTTGGGAGCGCCTCAAGAAACTCTGTCACCTGCTGTATGATTGGAGTAGGGCGGGTACCACGAATTCCTTGCGGAATATTAAGACCCTCCAGGCTGAGGTTGACCGGGTCAAGTCCATCCATCCGGTGGATTGGGAAGCGGTACGATCCCTGGAAATGGAGCTATCTCGTCAGTGGGATGCGGAGGAGTTATACTGGTAGCAAAAGTCAAGGGTCCGATGGCTAAAAAGAGGAGACCAAAACTCAGCATATTTCCACACGGTTACGCGCGCTCGTCGGAAGATGAATTTTGTCGCTGGGCTCCGGGATGATGAGGGTGAATGGGTTACGGAGGAGAGCGGGAAGGCTAGGATTGCTATCAGCTTTTACCAAACTCTATTTACCTCGGAATCCCATGTGCCAAATATGACTGATTGGGTGGCGAGCCTCCCCATTTCCCAAACGGTTACTCCGCAGATGAATGAGATGTTAACAGCGGTGCTTATGCCAGAGGAGGTTCGGAGAACGGTCTTTTCAATGGGATCGAAGAAAGCTCTGGGGTCTGATGGCTTCACCGGTAAATTCTTCAAAGCATTCTGGGATGTTGTGGGGGCATCGGTAATTGAGGCGGTTTGCTCCTTTTTTTCGACTAGTCGAATGCTACGGAGTTTTAACCATACTTGGCTTACGTTGATCCCTAAAGTGGATTCTGTGGAAAATATCCGCCAGCTGCGTCCGATCAGTCTCTGTCAATTCGTTTATAAAATTATAACCAAGATTATGGCGGAGCGGCTAGCGTGACTGCTCCCTCAAATTGTTTCTGAGGGGCAAAATGCGTTTATAAAGGACTGGCAGATTATTGATAACGTCCTTCTTGGGCATGAATTAATGCATTATCTCAAAATAAAAAAGCAGGGGAAGAAGGGGTACATGGCTCTAAAGGTTGACATGGAAAAGGCCTATGATAGAGTCGAATGGCCCTTCCTTCTGGCAGTTTTGGATAAGATGGGCTTTAATTCTGTCTGGCAAGGATGGGTTCATGAATGTCTTAGATCTGCTACTTTTTCGGTCCTGATGAATGGTACGCCTTCGGGTTTTTTCGGCTCCTCTCGGGGACTCAGGCAGGGAGATCCGTTGTCGCCTCTCCTGTTTGTGCTTTGTACAGAGGGGTTTGCGGCCCTTCTTCGGAAGGCGATCTCGGAAAAGAAGTTAGAGGGGGTGAAGGTGGCGCCGCGTGCTCCTAGGATCTCGCATCTGTTCTTCGCGGATGATTCCTATCTATTCTTGCGAGGTTCCCTTCAGGAGTGTGAGAACTTAATTGTGGTGCTCAATGAATATGAGGAGCTGAGTGGGCAGCGGGTTAATCTGGAAAAGTAGGCAGTCTGCTTTAGCAAAAATGTTTCCTTGGCTGATCAGGAGTTTTTGGCTACGATTCTTGGGGTCGGTGCAGTGGGGGTTCATGATAAGTACCTGGGGTTACCCACGTTGATTGCCCGAGCCAAAATGGCGACATTCAGGTATCTGGAGGAGAAATTACTGGAGCTTCTGCAGGGGTGGAAACGGAAAACTTTATCATGGGCGGCCAGGGAGACATTGATTAAATCAGTTGCTTTGGCCTTGCCCCTGTATGTTATGTCATGTTTTCGGTTGCCCCTCTCCCTGTGTCGTTTGTTGGATAAACACGTGGCCCGCTTCTGGTGGGGAGTTGAGGATGGTCACCCCAAGATTCGGTGGGTGTGGCGGAACCTTTGTAGAAGCAAGCATGACGGGGGTTTAGGTTTTCGCAGGTTTGAACATTTTAACCAGGCTCTTTTAGCAAAGATTGGCTGGCGTATTCTCCATGAGCCGAACTCCCTCCTGGCCCAGGTTTATAAAGGGAAATACTTTCCTCAAGGATCTTTTTTGACTGCTACTGCCCGGTCTCGGCCTTCTTGGGGTTGGCAGAGTATCCTGTTTGGGCGTCAGCTTTTGGACGCAGGGTTAAGATGGCAGATAGGCAATGGCCTCTCGGCCTCCCTTATTTATTCTAAATGGATTCCTGGGCTTCAGCTGGATGCCCCTTGCTATAATCCCCGCATCTTGCCAAATGGGGGTGATCCCGTGGGGACGGAGTTTATTTGTCAAGGGGAAGGGCGTTGGGATGAGAATAAGCTTAGTCAATGGTTTGACCCTTCTGTCTGTGGGGCCATTAAGGCTATCCCACTTCCGAGGCGGAATGTGGATGATAAACTTATCTGGCATAACACTGCTGATGGGGTGTTCTCGGTTAAGACGGCTTACCATCTGGCTGTTGAGCTTGACAGGAGAAGGGGTGGGTGGCGGGAATCGGTGAGCTGGATGGATAGGAAAAGCTGGATCCGGTTGTGGGAAGCGAAGATCCCTCCAAAGCTTAAAGTCTTTGTCTGGCAAATTTTGAATCGGGCCTTGCCAACCACAGAGGCGCTCATTGAAAAGGAGGTCCCTGTGCTGCTCCGGTTCCCGGTTTGCTAGGGGGGGCCCGAGACGTTGGAGCACTTGTTTCTCTACTGCCGGTGGCACGGGCCCTCTGGGACTACTCGGGGTTGGATTATTTAGGGGAGGCTCTGCCTCGGCACACGTTTCCTCTGTTTCTAAAGCGGATGCTTTCCCTTGTCCATGATCTATAGCTGTTTATGGCGGTGGTTGCCATCCTCTGGCGGATCTGGCGATCGCGAAACTGGGTTGTCTTTGAGGGCAAACAGTTTGGGATTCCGGCTTTAATGCGCCAATTTCACCAGCAATATGAGGAGTGGGTGGGTCTGCCGGTTGACCAGCAGCCAAGGATGTCTTTCCAAGTGGTCCAGACCCGGGTGGATGACTCTCGGTTGGTTTGCATGTGGGACGGGGCAACTAGGAGGGGGTCACACTCGGCTGGTGGGATGGTCCTTTATGGTCCGGGAAGGACGGTCATTCGGGCTAAAGGAGTTCAATTTGCACGATTGGATGACCCGATGGTGGTGGAGCTGCTAGTGCTGCGTGAGGCTGTTACTTGGTGTTTAGAGTGGGGTTTGTCCGATGTTCGGTTCGAGGGGGATGCGAAGGTCATTATTGACAAGATTAATCAAGCCGATTCGCGTGACAATCACTTGGGGGCGGTCCTGGAAGAAATTTGTCAATATTTTGCTGCCCATCCGGGGTTTAGTGTGCGGTTTGTAGGCTGGGATAACAATAGGGTAGCTCATTCGGTAGCTAGAAAAGCCCTCTCTTTGTACCCGAATGGGAATCGCTTGTTTGATTTCATATTCTGGCTGCTTTCCAGGATGTAACTGTAACATCCCGAACCTTTTCCCGACAAGATACTGTTCGCTTTGGGCCTCTACACCCGCACGGATTTCGACTTGGGGTGCAATTCAAGGTGACTTTCCATAAGGTCACCCATCCTTGTTGTGCTCCACACTGAGCACGTTTAACTTCGGAGTTCTCACAAGAACTCTTCCATTACACCCCAAAACGCGTCTTGTCAGTTAAGGTCGGTTTCCTACTTATGAACCATGGATCTCTCACGTGCTTTGTCGATGTGGGATTTGCCTAAGGTGTTACATACACCCCTCCTCGGGACTCAACGCCCTCGTTGAGGTTTGCCCCACGATCGTTCAAGAGGGACGTGGAGAGGCTCTGATACCACTTGTAACATCCCGAACCTTTTCCCGACAAGATACTGTCCGCTTTGGGCCTCTACACCCGCACGGATTTCGACTTGGGGTGCAATTCAAGGTGACTTCCCATAAGGTCGCCCATCCTTGTTGTGCTCCACACTGAGCACGTTTAACTTCGGAGTTCTCACAAGAACTCTTCCATTATACCCCAAAACGCGTCTTGTCAGTTAAGGTCGGTCTCCTACTTATGAACCATGGATCTCTCCCGTGCTTTGTCGATGTGGGATTTGCCTAAGGTGTTACAGTAACTATCTTGTTGGATTGAAGTAATATATGATATCTTTAGACAAAAAAAAAAAAAAACTGCGAAACAGAAAATTAAAACCCCGGGTTGCAACAGATTCTATTTTCGAGGGGCCTAATTGGCCATTTTAGCCTTAAAACCCCCATTTTTTGCCCCACGAATTGCGGTTAGCCTAAAAGCAAACCTCGTGAGTTAGATGGCCAGGTTGAAAAATGATTAGTGGGGGTGGAGAGAGAGACAGAGAGTAAAGAAGATTCCTGAGAAAGGATCCAAACAGAATGGTGATGGTGGTGGGCGATTGTTGTTGGTGGTGAGCTCCAAGCACAAGCAAGCAATGTTGTGCGAAATAAAAATACAGATCCAGCTTTTCTATTTTGCTTAACACACAATCACAGTGGTGTCTTTTGTCCCATTTGAAGAAGCATCAGCCTCAATTCAAACACACGCACCATACTGACGAAAAAGGAATATTAATCTTGAAAGGAATTTTAGCGCATGTCTTTGAGCTACTTGTCATGGGAATCTCTGCTCTGCTTTCCCCTCCTCTCCTCTGCTGCCCTGCCTACCTATCTAATGTGTTCGCATTGGTCATAAGAAGAAGGAAAAAATGCTGCGAAATCAAGACACCTCTTCCTGCTTTTATTGGCAAGCCAGGAAACAACACTTGCGTGGTTTGCTGTTTCTGCTTCTGTTGAAAAACGGGCAACTCCATTTGATTTGGGGGATAGGAAAGGAAGCCAGGAGTGGCTTGGACCATGGGCATGGCTTTAGAATGAAAGCCAAAGCCGATCCTGAAACCTGAAACTGCCCCCATGCAACACCAAAGCAGAACAACACACTGAGCACCTCGTCAGGGGAATGCTTGCAGGGGTGAGAATTAATGTGGGCGGTTAAAAGAAAAACAAAGATTTCATTTCTTTTCTTTTCATTGGGTTTTTGGTTTTTTACCTTTCTCTTTTCCCCCGTCTTGTTTCCCTCTTCGAGGAGAATCATATACTCATCCAAGCACTTGCAGACAAATCCGTTTCAGAAACAGCAGGGGAAAAAAACCACAACACGCCCTTTCTCGCTATGCTTTCTGACGTGAATTCAAGCCCAAAAAGTAGAATCAAAAGAACAAGAAAAGAAAAAACAAGAAACGGGAAAAGCATATCTTAAAGTCTCTCGCTATATATCTCCCCCTCGACTCTTCACCATCACTCTCTTTCAGTTTGCAAGCTCTCATAAAGAAAGAAGAAGAAGAACCACAACAACACCACATCGCCACACACGCACCCTTGTGCAGGTCGTGCGGTGTGGCTTTCTTGTTTCCTTCCTCTTCTTGCTATGCCTCTACTACGTGCCAAATTGGTCAACTCAAAAGCTGGCCGAAAGGCGAATCAAGAGTCGACGCTCAGCTCCACTTGAGAGCAACGAGTATTGGCCTTCAAGCCAAACAACCCCACACTTCCTTTCTTCAACCTCTCGTCCTCTTTACGTACTCATCAATGCCTCCCTCTTTCGCCATTCTCAAACCGACACAGCATTCATTCCCTTTCTCTCGTTGCTAATGTTATCCCTAAAAGCAAAAGGGTTCAACTTTCTGCTTGCTATCCATAGGCTGGCTAGGTGGTCATGGCGATGGTGGTAAGTTGTAGGCGTGCCTGGCTCCCTGTATGCCATTTGCAAGAGCTGATCAACGCAGTTTTGGTGGGGCTTGGTGGATGGCGTGCGAGGAGCCATGCATGCTTCTGCCACCAATATCAACTTGGCACCTTCCCTTCCTCCTATTTCTCTCTGTTATTCTTTCGAGTTGCAAAAATTAAAATGTTCATGTTCTCGTACTAGTAGCAGCAACAGCACTATAGCCCTGTAAGTCAAAGGGCTGCCTGCTGCTATCCATTTAAATCTAGTTTTCAAGTTCAAAACTCGACTCCTTGGTCTTGACCTTCTTGAGTTTTTCACCCTTTTCAACTACCATGCATATCCCACTCTCATTCACGTTTACTACAAGGCGTCTCCTTCAAAGTTCTGTTTTTATCATTTCTTCTTCGTTTCTTCCAATTTTTGATTGGTCAGCTTCAGAATCAGGGTAGGGCCTATAAAGAGTAGATCCATATTAGCCTCCCAAATCCCAACCATTCCTTAAGTTCCACCCAAGAGTTTCTTTTTCTTCTTTCCTGTCTGCAGCAGCTCCTTTATTCTTGGCAAAGGAAGCGTTTTTACTTTTTACTGCTTCAAGTATTTTATTTATTTAATAAATGACACAGTTTTACACATCTGAAAAACAGAATGCTCCTGAAAAAACAGAAATCAATCATCTTTCTATAACTTGTATGCCTCTTGTTAGGACCTAAGGAAACCGGACAAACCTGTCCACTATTTCCACACTTGCTTTAACAAAAACTCACAAGTCAGAAATGTGCAGTACTTTGCAGGCTTGTGGTGGTAGTGCTCCTTGAAGAACTAGTCTGAGATGTGTACCTTTTGTGCAATCTAATTCCCATTAGATCACTGAGGTGCCCAGGTTCAGATATCTCATAACTTTCCAATTCGATTTCATTCCTCAACATCTCAACCACTGTTGACATCATCGGCCGGCGCTTTGCAGTTTCTTGCACGCAAAGAAGGCTTATTTTCAAGAATCGTAGAGCTTCTTCTTCTGGATAGTTCATGTTCAGAGCAGGATCTACTATCTGTAGAAGCTTCTTTGCTCTGTAAGTGCTCCATGCCTGCATATATTCCATTCAACTCCCAAAATAAGAAGGCTGCTGCCCTGTGAAATAGATACATTCATCGTTGAAAATAATTTGTCCTACCATTTGAACCAGGTAATGCTCTCCAAGTTCAATATCAAAATCCACAACTGATCTGCCGCTTATAATCTCCATGAGCAAAACCCCATAGCCATAAACATCTGATTTTCGTGTCAAGTGGCCGCTGACAGCATACTCCGGAGCAAGATAACCCCTTTTTGCAAATAGTAGAGTAAAAGTTCAGCTCATTCCCTAACCATCAATGTAATAAGTTTGGCAAGAAATTCCAATGTGATCCCATTTTCTCACTTACAAAGTTCCAGCAACTCTTGTACTGACGTAGGAACTGTTGTCTCTAAGAATTCTAGAGAGGCCAAAATCTGAAACTTTGGGTGTAAAATTATCATCCAGTAGTATATTGCTTGCTTTAATATCTCTGTGCAACACATGAGGCTTCACCTCTTCGTGAAGATAAGCAATCCCACGAGCAACCCCAATTGAAACATGCCGCCTGGCTTCCCAGCTGAATTTCATCCTGTTCTGGTCGTTGCCTAAGTAGGGGAAAACAAAGGGAGAAAACAGAAAACCCACATTGAGATTTCTTCATTCACTGACTAATTGGATGCTTCAGAGCCAAAAGACATAAACTTCTTCTCTTGGCAACTCATTGAGGGAATTTACCGAGCAATGTATGTGCAAGACTGTTGTTCTCCATATACTCATAGACCAAATATCGATCCGACCCTTCTACACAACATCCGTGGAGAATGACGAGGTTGTCATGTCTGAGGTTGGAAAGTGCGGCCAGTTCAGAAATGAACTCTCTCTCCCCACGCATCGATTCCATCTCTACCGAAAGAACTTTCACAGCCACCATTGAACCATCTTGGAGCCGACCCTTTTTCACCCGTGTAGGAAGTCAAACCAAACAGTAAACCCCAGGGACCAATAGATGACCCAAAATAAAAAATGAAACGAGAGTAAAACATGAGAGGATTGTGTTACCTTGTAAACTGAGCCAAAGCCCCCTTCCCCAACCTTGTTTGCAGAAGAGAAGTTTTGAGTTGCCCGTTTCAGTTCGTGCAGACTGAAAATCCTCAAGTTTCCTTCCTCGACTGGAAATAAACAGACAGCCAAATAGTTGAATTGAGCTCGGAAACGAACCGTTAATCGGGGAATGGAGCCGCATAAAGTTTCTCACCGGTCCTGGTGGTGGTGGGTCGCAATTCAGGAGAGAAGAAGCAACTCAAGCGGCACAATTTCAGCTTCATTTCATACCCAGAATTGCTTCACATTCATTCCTGCACATAACTATTTCTGGAAACAAAATTCTCCTTTATTCAGATTTGCTGAAATGGAGGAGGAATCGGAATTCTTCAGGTTTCAGAGGAGAAGCACGAGGACGAGGAAACAAAGGGTACTTGAGTCCATCACTTGACTTCCTCGACTTGGAAGTTCTCATTTTCGTGTTTGTTTATTGGAACTTGTAGGAAAATGCCTGGAGGTTGGAGAGAACGGAACTCCCAAAATCATCATCTGCCAACCCACGTATTTGTTTAACGTAATTCCATTTGTCGTCTTTCTAAACTTACCATTGAAATTTCAAATCCATGTCATTCTATAGTCATAAAAGAAAAAACATTGAAGGACCTATAAAAAAGGGCAAAGGGAAAAAATGTCTCTCTTTCTAATCCATTTTCTCTTAACCTTTCAACGGTCAATTTTCCGTCCCCTTTGCTGGAAATCTTTAAGCTCGAACAGAACATATTTTTTAGGATTTTTTTTCCATTATGACAGAGATTTATCCCTATCTCTCGATTACCAAGAGGAAGTGCATCTAGTTATGAGAATATAAGATTCCACAAAAGATTGAACAATAAAAGATGTGTTCTTTTCCCACTGGTCGAGAGTGAGTGATTCATTCACATTCTGCATGTTCGTATCTTATCTCGGTAAGGACCTAGTTCGCTTATTCGTTTGTTCCTTGAATTTGAACTCTATGCATGGTGAGTTGTGGTTGGTGAGTATTCTTGTCGAGACTTGTATTGATTTGTAAACAGGGAGAGAACTTTTCGTTTGCACGTTTTAATGCATTCGAATATCGTTTGTGGTGGATGCCGGTATTGCTTGTAGTTGTTCATGTGTTGATGCCAAATAAACATTGAGATTCATCCATTGTATGCCCTTCGATATGCCCTCAAGTTATTGTTGTTAGGTTGAAATATTACCATGTTTGATATTGGTTTGCTTGGGGACAAGCAAACGTCCTGTGATTCAGGTCTAATTGTACACATTTTACCTCTTATTTCTTGATAGTTTGACTTTGCATTTCATAGTCTCAAGACCTATTTTTCGCTAGGATGTATTATTTTTTATACATTTAAGGTCCTAGCACGTGTGTAAGGGTTGAGGACGAGTTTCGGGACGATTGGAGTCGAAAAGCGCCAAAAAGTGAAGAAAAGTCACATGTCACGGCTTGGAGGAAATTATCACAGTTTTCCTGACCGTGACAATTTACCATAGGGTGTGAAGTCAGCTGGAAACAGGAGGGTTTCGCACGTCTCGCGGGCCTAAATGCATGTTTTCACGGTCGCTTGACAGTGGCAATTAGCCAGTGACCGTGATGTTGGACAAAACGACACCATTGACTTGTGTTTTGGTCCGATGTCACAGTTAGAGCTCAATTGTCACGACCGTGAACTGCTGATTCGGGCCCGAATGTACACATTTTACCCCTCTTTTCTTATTCGTTTAGCTTAATATTTCATCATTCCTTGACATATTTCAAGCTAGGTTTTGCTTGTTTTGATACATTTCATGTCCTAGCACGTGTGGAAGGGGCGAGGACGAGTTTTGGGATATTTGGAGGTCAAAAAGCGCAAAAACCGAATAAAAGTCATAGTAGTGAGTTGAAGGCGTCCAAGAAACAAGCGTAGTTCACGCCCAGACGAGGCAGTTCACGGTCTCCCCTCTCTCTCTCGCTCTCTCTAGAAACTCACTCTTTTCTCTTGGGTGTTGTATATCCCTAACTAATACTTTGTAATTACTTGTTTAGATTGAATGATTGTCATTGGGTAGTGTCTAATTTAAGGATTGAGGTATTATTCATGTCGATTGTGCATGCTCGTGCTTAGCAATCTAAGGGTTGTGCATGTTTTGTGCTTAGCATCCTTAGGTTTGTGCATTGTGGTGCTTAGCAACCTAAGGATTGTGCATAATTGTGCTTAGCACCCTTAGGTTTGTGCATGTTGGTGCTAGCAATCTAATTAGCCACCTTAGCCTAGCTTAGAGAGGAAAACTCCCCTTCCAAGGGAGACTCAATCGAGTTGGTTTTCCTTCCGCTTTTTAAGCCACCTAAACTAGGTTAAGTTAGGGAAACCCTCAATATTGAGTTAAGCAAGTCCGTTAATCGTGATTAAGCCATCCGACCTTAGAGTTGAGTGAGGGAGTAAGTCAACTACCGATTGTCTAAACCGAGAGGGTCGAGTGACACGGCCTTTCATACTTACCTCGGTTTAGAAATTGAGATTGTGGTCTCCGACCACATATGCATCCCTCTACGGTTCGAGGTTACCAGTTTGCATCTAGTTTGGTTTTGATCAAGCCGCTCAAACTCCGGTTTAAGGGAGAGACCTAGGCAACCGCTAGCGACTGAGTGAGACGCTCGACCCCGTGACAAATCGATCTCTAGCTAACCCATCCCGTGACAAATGGATCACTAGTTTCTCCTCTTAGCGGTTCCCCTAGACTTGGTGAGTTGATTGATCTCGTGATAAAGCGATCGCTAGTGAATTAATGCCGTGACAGATTGATCACTAGTTGCTCACCCCCGAGGTTCACAACCACCTACGCCTCACGACTTCATTCAATCCAACGAGTCATGGTATCTAGTTAAGGGGAAGCAATTCCTGGGTGAAGCTCCCTTAGATAGAGTTTTCCTTTATTTACTTTACTTTGCTTGTTTCATTTGTAGTTTTCTTAGTTTTAAATCCCAAAAATCGTTTTGCTATATAACAACTTAAGCGATTGAAGTAGGGGTACATGGATCGGCCTGAGTCGACATTTTAAATACTTACTCTATACTGCACCCGGCTAGAGTTTAAAACTTGGGCTCTAGTCGGGATTAATTTGCGGTGTTGTTTTGTGCGAGTCAAGTTCTTGTCGCTGTTGCCGGGGACCTTACGGTCCGTTATACAGAAATGGTAGATTAGTGTTACTCTAGCATTTTCTATCTTGCCTTTTTGTTTCCGTGTTGTGTTTTGTTTACCCACTCTTCGTCTTGAAGGGTGGTTTGTGTTTGTTTGATTTTCTTTTTGTGTTTTTGTTTGTGTAGGTTATGAATCATAGATCCCAATGGCTCCTGAAATAGGTGGGGGTATCCACAACCACCCAAATGGGGGTACCCCAGAGCTTCATGGAGTGAACAAAAAGGGGGAAGCCAAGGATCTGGGATCTATTACCAACCCCTCTTCCAAGAAGAACAACCATACCATTGGGGGTATGAAGAGGCTTCCCCATATCAAGAAGGTTTCCCTCCACAACCCGAGGAAAAATCCAAGTTGGAGTTGGCCATGGAAGCTTTCATAGGACAATCATTGAGACCATGTGCCACTCCACAACCGAAGCCAAAGAGCAAATTAGTGCTCATGGTGGAGCGATTCGCCCTGGGAACCGATGAAGGGTGCTCTAGCAAGGACCTCCCAATCGCCAACCCTATCGACTCAACCTTTCTTTAGGAGGCGGAGGAGCTTCGTCGACGCACGAAGAGACTAGGAGGGCTTGTAGAGCAAGCATGTGCACAACTTGCTCACTATCGCCTCCTACCATTGGAAGAAAGAGAGGAAGTCGAAGAGGCGAGCCATGATGATTTTGGAAGAGCGAGCTCCGACATGGATTTCCAACCCCTCCATCCTCCTGGTTTGACACTAGAAGAGAAAGTGGCACGAGCTTTTGAAAGCTATCGCCTCTCATTATTGGAGGAGAATGAGGAGGTTGAAGGGGCGCTCAATGACAACCGTGTGGAGCAAGAAGAACTCTCCCCGGAGAGCTCCCGTGGTGAGGATGAACAAGAAGGTTTCATTGACGATTGTCATCATCTTCCCCTTCCCGAGAGCAACCTTGAAGACCAAGATACGAGTGTGGAGGAGCAAGAGAATCCCTTCTATGAGCTTGCATGGCATCTTGCCCTCCAAATCGTGCTTGAAGACATGAATGGGAAGGAGGAAGAAGAGGTGGAAGAGGAGGAAGAAAGCATTGAGGAGGGGGAAGATCTCAAGTTTTCCCAAGGGGAGGAAATTGAAGAAGAAGGAAGGGAGGTTAAAGAAGAAGTAGAAGGAGCAAGTGAGGTCCAAAATGAAGGCGAGGTCGTGGTGGATGAAGCTTCAACGAGTTACAAGTGCGAACAAAGATTTCCACCCAACCTCGATGCGCTTTGGGAGAAGGACCCATTTGCGGCTCTTTGCCAAGTCAAGGGCAAACCATCAGCGATCCCTGTTGGTGGATGCAATGGAAACCAATCGAGTTTGCACTACATGGTATGGGGCAAAGAGAAGAAAGAAGAAGGAAAGAAGAAGAGGTCTCGTGGGTGGAGCCTCAAAGCCACTCAAGTTCACGAGCCCTCAATCATGGATTCGTCCAATGCTCGTGACTTTAAACATCACCTCACCGACGAGAACCACAACTTCAAGGAGGTTCTTGGGTGGACCGAAACTTGAGGAGAAACCGTCCGGCTCACGACGTTAAAGAAGCGCTTGGTGGGAGGCAACCCATCTACCATCGGTTTGTTTGCTTTCCGCTCTAATAAGAAGACCATTGAAGAGATTTTGGTGGTGTTTTGGATGTGACCACACTCTTTCGAAGCTCAACCGCCCTCCATTCCCGAGTACAAACATTCACAACTTGACCGGTAACATCGTTCTATCCCCTTCTTTTACGCCATTGAGGGCAATGTCGAGCTTAAGTGTGGGGGGGGGGGGGGGTAGTCTATTATGCATGTGTGTGTGAATGTTTGATGTGATTTTGAATGCTTGGAGCCTAGTTGTATGCCCAAATTTTCAAAATTTGAGGGCTCCAAGCATAACAACTTCTACATTTGCATGATCATAGTGGCATCTTGTGGTGATTTGTTTTGAATCTAGTGGTTATTAGCACGGTCTATGGATGATTTGATTGTGATTGTGTGCATCCTATGATGATGAGTGAGACTTGTATTAGGTTTGTGTATAGGTTCATTCCTCGTATGTTTGTGAACCGATAGATGTTTTGAATCGGTTACTTGCTTTACCCTACCCGATTAGGTCGGTTTCGAGCGAATATCCATGGTTACAGATATTTTTGCCATCCCTACACCCAGTTCAGGGTCCCAGTTCACGCCCGTAAACATCAGGCCAGGACCGCGAACACAGATCAAAACGCGCAGCTTCACTTAAGGGGTTCACGGTGCATGGCTCCAGTTCATTGTCTAAGCGACCGTGAACTGCCTCGGCGTAAGTAACCTCTGAAAATCCTCTGGACGCTTCGCAGTTAACGGTTTTTGGTTCCAGGTCACGGTCATGGCGACCGTGAACTCCAATGTTTGACCGCGAAC